ACCACTGTACCATAAAAAGTTCGTGGCGGTCTCACCCCCATAAAAAGTGATTAAGTATGATTCATATTTTTCTGTTTGAAGTGATTGGTATATATTTTTTTCTATCTTTATGTTATAGTTTCTTCAGTTCAGCAACATATAATTCTTCTAATATGCTTCCTTATTTGCCTTTTGTCACTCGTTTTAATTGGAAAAAACACACTGATACTAAAATAGTTGGTTTAGCGTGAAAGATCAGAGTCAAAATAGGGTTGCATATATTTTTATTGATGCAGAATCAACATCAATCATTTTATATCAAAATATTTACAACCCCATTTTGTTTCTGACCTTTTACACATTGTAATAAGAGAAAGAAATGGAATCAATAGTTTCTTTAGTTTTGGGTTCATCTAATAAGTGGTTTTTCGAATCGTTTTCTAAAAATTTTGGATTATAGGCACTTATTAGAACACCACAATATCTTCTGGTTTTCAGTTTTATACAGCTGGCGTATATCAATTCGATATTGTTTTGTTGTAATTCAATAGAATTTCGTAGTTGCTGACTTGCTGACGGCATGATACGTTGTGATTTGACAGGTGCTGATATCAATTTGGAACTTCAAAATTCCATGGACCATGTCATTGAACCCGGAAAACAATATCGATCCAACATTTTAGATTAACCATTTCCAAGGATGCTTTTCTCAAAAAAGTATTTAAATGCAAGATAAAAATAGGTATTTTTTATTTTGTATTTGCATTTCAAATAAATCGTATCTCTGGTTATTTCGATATAGTTCTTGTGTTCTTTTTCTCATGAACATGAATGCGTCAGTGTGACCGATCTGTTACAGTTTCTGTTGCTTTTGTTGGTGTTTCGGGTTTTGATTGACGATAACTTATTATTGAACTTATTTTTATCATTACTGACCGAGTTTTTTATAACAACTTTGCAATGCACTTATAAGACTGCATTATTCTTATACACCGATGCTTGATGCTTATGTTCATAAAGTTTGTAGACGGTCTCGCGAATCAAATGCAGAAAACTGCATCTCGATCCGACTTACTGCACAAAATTTGAATGTTCAGTGCTTTATTTCGTTGACTAAAAGCTCGTTTCAGTGGTTTCAACTTAACCATCTCGTTGAAATAACGCCAAACAGGAATTAAAATTGCATTGGTTTAGTGTTTGAACGATTTTTTTAATGGATCTGAATGTGGTTTGGGACGTTGGTGGGGGTGGTGTTTAATGGAAAGATCCCTCCAAAATGAAGACATGAATCATTAACCGAACTGAATAGCAGGCACAGCTAATGCCGGGTACCCGGTTATCCAGTACCCGCCAAAATCACTGTCTGGCGCATCCCTAATTTTCAACCAAGCAGGTGATATATTCAAATAAACTTGGTTGAAAAATATACTCTACAGGTTCGCCAAATTATCCATCCAAAAAATGGTAGGAAAAATGCCGACAAAAAATTTACAATTTCTATGTTCGTTGAACGTTTTGCCTTAATACGTATTTTATATAATGATGAAGAGAGATATTTCAAAAGGTTTTAAGTTCAAAAATATAACCATAAATCTATGTATTCTAAGAAAGAAAAATTTAAACAACAAAACGTTACTTTTAGTTTAATACTTGAATTTTCATAGAATTTATCTCTCCAATTAAACTTATTTCTGCTCTTTTTAAAATAAAATAAATCTGTCTATTTGTTTCTTATAAGACGCCTACTGTAAATGTGGACGATAAGATACGAAAGAAAATATTGTCCTTAGCATAGAAGTTAAAAATAGGTAAAGTAAGCAGTAGCGCGTCGAGACGACTTCAAGAACGAAGTTTCAAGATAAAGGTCAATTCTATTTTCTACTAACATCAATAACGTGAGTATATACGATGTTAAGGGGAAATGACACAAGAGCCGTGTCTAAGAGATAATTTATTTCAAGTACAAGAAGCGCATCTCATGCACCTACATTAATTTATTTTGAGTAGGACACCGATAAGTAGTCCATGGATGCATGGAATATAATGTACCCAGTACTCATGCTTTATAATCCACTAGGTTCACGTGGAATTCTATTATATTGCTAACCCCTATTTTATACTTTTAGGGATGGTATTTTAAAAACTCGTACTAGTACTAGATAACACTGTTGTTTAAGGAACCTTTCTGTAAAATTTCAACCTTTTTGACTCGGCAGCTTGGGCTATAGCTTGACCGATGCCTCAAACTTTGGATCCAATTTTTACGTAACTCCTGTACAGTTTGAATTTTAAAAAATCCCTGCTTATTAGCCGCATACGTATTATTTTCTATACTGAATAACAGAAATATTTAATAATTGACATTAAGAATCAAATTATTTAATTACTAAACCGTCAGCATGGGTGTTTACTTGTATTTTTTGTTTTGGAATACTGTTAATTCAACGGTTTTAGTTACAGTCACAACGAACAAAAAATAATTTGAAAATTAGATGAGATGGGAAAGGGACCTAACTAACCCACTTTAAAAATATAGACAGGAAGCCTGAGGGTAGAGCTATCTCTCCTGTGAATGTTATTGCTCCAGCTTTCTTACTGTAAAATAGGCATGCTTTTTCGCTACCTCCTGCTGTGCTACTTTTAAAAAAAAAATAATATCTTGAAAACGGTAAAATTCAGAAGAAGAAAAGTACCTAGAAACGAACCGTCGTAATATATAGAGTGTTCTATTTAAAATAACGAAGTTGATGTCAACTTCCGGTATAACAGGAAGTGCATCTATGTAGCACATACAATAAAGGCATTTTACAAATCTTCAAATTTTAAATCGAAGTAGTTTCCGAAATATTCTAATGGGTTGGGTGGTCACCGTGAGACACCAAGTATACTTTTATCCATCTAATATGTGTTTATAATGAGGTTACCGTTCTAATTTTAATTACAGATGCGTGTTAATTAGAAAAAAAGGCATATACTTTACCGTTTGAAGTGAATCATTAATCTATGTATATGTTGTAGTCAAAGATCGTCATGTAGTCCTTTCGCGCAATAATTCGTCTATCCCAGTTAGTTAGTGAGTGTTGGAAGTTGTCATGTATTTTCTCTAATGCTGAGGCAAGTACAATACCCATACAGGTTCTCTAGTAATACCTGTAATCAAAATCTGTTTGTATAGGTACTTACAAATAAATGACAATCGTGTCAGACGCGTTCACGACATGGAGGGGTTCTCTGGCAATTTACCAACCTCGACCTAATCACTCAAAGTTAATGTTGTATACCCAATATTGTTTCAATTGATAGTATATTCATCAAAACCTATTTTCAAGATTATTGGAAAGGAGGCTAAACTTACTTAGGCTTTCATGGTCGGCATCTGTCGATGCTGTGTTTTCTTCCGGGCTTTTTTGGCCGTGGTCCGTGGAATCTTCAGTGGTGACTGGACAGGTGCTGAGTCGTAACAGTTATACTTGAATTGATTGATGAATTTAACATCAGTTACGACTCAGCATCTGCCCAGTCACCACTGAAGATGCCGTCAGCAAAGAACGACGAAACGTTTGGAAAATCAAGATTCCACGGACCACGGCCAAAAAGCCCGGAAGAAAACACAGCATCGAGGTTAAACTTATAAAAGACATTTATTTATTTCGTTGTTTGTATTAATTTTCATCGGAAGTACCCATGGAAGGTTAGTTCAAGATTTTTCAGTTACTTTGCATCAATAGTAGTTAACAAACAAAAAGAGCAGGTGGGTAGCATATTAATAACATTTTTAAATGCAAATCGAAAGGAGTATAAGAAATTGGTTTTTCAAAAATCTCATCTCCTTTGGTCATCAATCTTCTGTGTATCAAATTTAATCTATTAGGTTTATAAATAAGAAGAGGATGATAAGCTGATAATGTATAATACATACATATGGTTTCTAGTTCCTAGTTGGCTACGAAACTGTAACTAGTGTTTGTACTGTTATTAAACGATCTTTCTATTTATTATTCAGTGGAGATATTTTTACATGTTTATTTCTTTCGATAAGAAAGTTCAACAATTGCTTCTAAAGCAAATACATAACATGTAGTTGAATTCAGTTGTGTTTCTCATTTATACCACTGTTGACGTGTGTTTGAACTATAATTATTTTTAAGTTAAGGCTTTACTCATAACGAAGAAAACAATGGATTGTAAATTAATACGAGTTAATATTTGCTTCTACTTCTGTTATTAACACCTAGTTATAAAGCGATTGTGTTCGCTGAAACTGGTTTCTTTTAAAATTGTTTCCACACAAAGAGTTTATTAAACTTGATTTTTTGCGGACGTAACAGCTGGTTTTATTTTTAATGGGAAATGGCAAAAACCTATGCCACTAAGGTACGTTTTCGAGCCAATAATAATAACAATATCTATTTATAAATAGTGTAAAATATTTTTAATAAGTTAAAAAACGGTTACATTTTAAATGGTAGGACAAATTAGAGTAGAAGACCTTATCCAATTAATTTTTAATTAATTAAGTTTTAATCTCCCGATCCACATTGACCTGTGTTATCAATAATTAACTATATGTAAATATTTTTTTCATAACTGTAGGCGCGCACACAGCAGTGTGGTTGGGTTACATTATTGAACGAAATTCGTAATTGGCTTATAACGTTCATTTTTTTGTTACAGGGTGGTTACCCAGCTAAACTTAAGAAAGTTTTGATTGTAACGGCACCGTTGTGGTTTAAAGCTCCATTCAAGATTTTGCGGCTTTTTGTACGCGAAAAATTGCGCGAACGGGTATACACGGTGTCCATAGCACAGCTGAGCAGTCACATACCGAGGGACTCTTTGCCGACCCAGCTGGGTGGCAACCACACTCTGGACCATGACGCTTGGCTCTTGCGCTGCGCAGAGTCCATGACCACCAGACCCCAATCGCCACCCCGTCAATATGGTAAGTCAGTATCGCAGATACTTTGTCATAATAAGTATGTTTAAATTAGTTAATAAGTATTTCTGCAATTAATCTGAATTATTGTGATGACATTATAATTCTACATCTTCCTATTAATTAAAGAATGGCATTTCAAGTAGAAATATCCTGGGAAAAACTTTCCATTTCATTTATAATTCCATAGTTGATACATCATCATAAGGTCATCAGTCGTAAGACTGGTTGGACACGCACCTCCACTCTTTCCTATCCTGCGCTAATCTTCCCTAAAGCTAGAGCAACCCACATCCTTGACTATTTGCGAACAGTAATCTAATCTAGGTTTACCTCTACCCCTCCAAATTTCCGTTTCTGCCTCGAATATGTCTCTGACTAGACCTTCGTGCCGGAGAAGGTGTTTTTTTACCAACCTATCTCCCCTATTTTTTATTGACTTCCATAGAATCCTCTGTTCTCCTATTCTTTCTAAAAACCTCTTCAATAGTTGATACAGTATAAATTTTTTGACATCACTTAATGTATTTTTTTTTTTTTTTTATTTTAGGCGGAAAGACGCCATCTCCTCAGAAACTTGTCACTGGTGCGGTCGAAGACATTGAAATATCATCGGCACCTGCCAATCACATAAACGTGGACAGTTGGGCGGAAGAGAACAACCTGAACCCCCCTAGTAGTGCATCGAGCGGCTTCTCGGACGACGATTCCCTGCATGGAGACGGTGCTGCACTCACCATGCCCCAACTTCTGGACTATATCCGAGATCGGGGAAAGTCCGGTCTTATGCAGGAATACGCGGAAATCCGGATGCGACCGCCCGACGGCACGTTCAATGTCGCCAAAACGAGAGCCAACCTGCCCAAAAATCGATATACTGACGTGTTGTGCTATGACCATAGTCGTGTGATTTTGTCCGAAATAGACGGTGACCGTGACAGTGATTACATACACGCGAACTTTGTGGACGGTTATAAACAAAAAAACGCCTTCATTAATACACAGGGTGAGTGATTATACAATACCCTACAGTGAATAATCCATTGCGTACACATAAAAGTTGGTAAAATGTCCAATTTAATTATATAAAGAATTGCAATAGTTAGAAACAAATCAAGCATTGAAATTCAAAAAAGAAACTTTCAAATGTTATGATCATTTATGGAAACATGTAAATTTATTTTAACAGGTCCTCTGCCAAAAACTACTCCGGATTTCTGGAGAATGATATGGGAACAACATTGTTTAGTCATAGTAATGACAACGCGGGTTATGGAAAGGAGTAGACCAAAATGTCACCAGTATTGGGAACCAGATATTGATGGAGAAGTTACGTATGGGATTTACACCATAAAAACCGTAGCAATCGACGCTAATACAGACTATACTAACACAATGTTAAAAATAACAAATAATAAAGTAAGTAGTTTATTTGTTTAACTAAGAAATCACGTGTAAACTAAAATGTTATATTATTAATTGCATTTTTGATTCTCTTTTCAGACAGAAGAATGTAGAGAAGTGTCACACTGGCAGTTCACGTCATGGCCAGATTACGGAGTTCCACATTCGGCAAGAGCCATGTTAGATTTTCTAGAAAAAGTTAGGAATCAACAAACCGCTATGGTAGCCGCTTTAGGAGACACGTGGGCTGGACATCCTCGGGGACCTCCGATAGTCGTCCATTGTAGTGCGGGAATAGGACGGACAGGTAATTTACCATTTCTTCGGTAGTTTGAAATATTTACAGGGGAGTTTATCGTTCGAAAAATGAAGAAAAGTTATTTTTATTGAAGTTATACTTCTTTAGGCGCGTTATGAAAAACTGATGAGAGTGAAATTTCAAGATGCGCGCGCATCACTGTAACACAAAATTAACAGGATGAAGTTGCCCACTCAACCGNTCCATTTTATTTAAAGCTCTCTCCAACTCCTCCTTGCTACATGCTAATACTGCTATATCATCTGCAAATCTAAGCATACTAATCTTTTGCCCCTGTATATCTATCCCCACAGTTCTACTGTCTTTAATGATGTTGATGGCATCTGCGATGTATAGATTAAAAAGTAGCGCTGACAGTGTGCATCCCTGTCTGACTCCCTTCCTAATATTTACTTCTCTACGTTGCAGCCCCAGCTCTATAACTGCCTGTTGTTCTTTATACAAACTAAGTATCACTCTTCTATCTTTGTAATTCATCCCTACATTTCTAAGTATATTTAACATCTTGTCCCATTTAACATTTTTCTAACATACACCAGCATAATTTTGCAAACCTTAGTTACAGACATTTTCTAATTATGTTTATGTTAACATATGTTATTATTTGTCCAAATTTCCGGCTGGCAAACATTTTCTCTACATTTGGCTGTATTTGTTGGAAAAACTAAAAAAAATGATCAAAATATATCCACTAGTTTTTGGGTGCGGACCTATCTAATATTTTATTTATAAAAATACTCCAATTATAAATCAAAAATTTAAGGTATTATTGACGTTGATTTTCTATGTTACTTTTATATACAACGACTTCCACTAATATATTTTTATTTTTTTTGTTCTATTTGTGCCGATTTAATTAATTATTAACAAGTTGAGTAACGTCAAACAGAGTAACTTTAATTAAAAGCGGATGATATTTGAATTATAAGTTGTGGTTGTTCAGGATAGTATGTTTGAATGTGTGTCTGTATGTCTGCCCACGTTACCTTGAATAAGCGATAATACTTCAAATGGAATGTTTGTTTCAATGTCAAATACGCACATAATGTACATTTTTCAATTTTTTTACTGAAAATAAGCATTATAAGCAACTTAATCAATACAAATGACACTTCTATTCTCGCAACTTTTTTATAATAAATACAAAAATTTATTGGAAATTTCTCGTAAGACGTAAAGTTTGGTATTTCACAAATTAGACTGGAAGAAGGCTCGATATTCGGACTCGATGGTGGTCCAGGTTTTCTTCTTTCTGCGAGTCCATCGATGGAGTTGTTTATCTGACGTTTAGCCAGGTGCTGTGGTTGGTATTTTGAGGGAACGTAGCAAGGGCATAAAATCATTCGCTGTGGTTTTGCTAACTGTAAGACTAAGTCACCATAATCAAGAAGCCTGAATATCGAGTTCTCTTTTGATAACGCCGTTGACCATGATACGGAACGTACTATAGGTGCTAAGAATGATGAAATATTGAAGTTGAGAAAGGGATACGGTTCCCCACCTAAAAGCTTAACTCCATGTATGGTAAATTAATTTATAATGGCTAATGGAAACTTTCTTGACAGGTTTTAATTTTCCAAAATTGCCGGGAAAATGGCCGTTTACGTTGACCGAACAACAGCTAGATGCCCGACGTAGAGGTTTAGAGCAATATTTGGAAAAAGTATGTGCGGTGAGGGTTATAGCCGAATCGGATATCATGCAAGACTTCCTTACAGATCAAGACGATGAGAGTAATTGTAGCCCTGTTGACTTAAAAGTAAGTATAACACATCTGCGCCTCTTTATTTATCTAATCAGGATGTGCGGTTGTTATACTGATAAGTTTATTGACACAGGATTCAAATTTTTGACAAACCTAAAACAGCCATATGAAAGTACAACTAAACACTGGAAAGTCAGTAATTTTTTATAGAAAACGAAATTCCATTGCAAAAAACTATTTACTATAAGTCGATGTATTGGTGTATTTTTCATCTTGTTCTATGTAATAAATAATTTATTGTCTAAATGTTTAAGCAGATGGGCATGAAATCCATTTGAATTTGCGCGCTCACGATTGAATCCTGAACGCAGCGTAAATCTGTTTTGTTACTTTAATAGTCATTTTCAAATTGACTTTTAAAATTCGTTGGTAAATTATTGGCCTGTTAAATTTTAAATATTTTCGTTTTTATAAATTGGTAGGATCATATTTTTAAGTTATTTTAGCAATTGTTATCTTTAATTTTGTGACACAAACCTGTAGTTTTCCGTTAAAGTATTTATTTTTATTGGAAAATGAAACGAGTAATTTACAAAACGTGTTATATAAAATGGTTTTAACTAATTATGTATGCAAACGTGTAAACATCTAGTACTTCGAAGGGAACATTAGTATAATTTAACACGTTGTGCAATATCTAACAAATCATAAAAGTCTTATCTAAAATATGTGATATTGTAGTTTTTAATTTTCATGTTTAGATAAACAATAGGTATAGGAATTCTTAAGTAATGTAGTTTGAAAACTTACAATTTAATTTAATGATTTTTGAAAATTAATTAATAATAACTTTGGTACAGATCCTTTTGCCAGATAGAGAAGTGGTCACAGTATCGTTAAAGAAGAATTCAAATGCCGATGAAGTGTATGCGGCAGTCGTTAGAAAAATTAACATGACTAGGAAAACAGCACTCTATTTTTATTTGTTTGAAATAGTCGAATATAATTTTGGTGAGTACATACACTAACAGCGAAATCAGTAAAATTATTTAATTTATTTTTTTGAAATTTAGAACGCAAGTTACAACCCTCTGAGTACCCCCATAATTTATACATACAAAATTACAGTACAGCGACAAGCACGTGTCTTTGTATAAGAAAATGGCTTTTCTCTTTGAGTCAAGAACTGTCTCTAATGAACGATACTCAAGCAACATCGTACATCTTCTGGCAGGTATGTAACTTTTGATCTACAACTCTATGTACTTTTGTTTTTNAAATATATTTTGTTAAATTAAAAATAAGAAGAAGATATACCCTGGTATATTTTACTAAAAATTGCCCGAGATTCAAGGTTTTCCAGTTATTTTGTATGTGTGGAAAGAGGAAGGAGGTATTATTATTATTTGTGTGGAAGTGTAGACAGCAAATGCAGGAAAGTTTGAATTATGTCAAACTTAAACGTCAAACATTATAATGGCCGATAGTGAACCGGACAAAAACAATCGTTTAGTGGGTAACATGAAAGTGTCGGCAAATGGACCTCGAGTTGTGACAATTAAGAAGACTGAAACGGGATTCGGGTTCAATGTTCGTGGTCAAGTTAGTGAAGGAGGGCAACTGCGAAGCATTAATGGGGAATTGTACGCCCCTCTGCAACATGTTAGTGCCGTTTTGGAAAAGGGGGCCGCCGAACAGGCCGGTATACGAAAAGGTGACCGAATTCTGGAGGTGTAAGTAAAATTCTTACGAGTTGTTTTCTTCCTACCTAGTTTTGAGGGTCAGTTATTGATTATTTAGCCTCTCTATGCTCTCTATTTTGACATTTAACCTCTTACATATATTCCCTCAAAATCCAAATCCAACATTTGTTTGCATTTGATTATACGAAATTTCCACCATAAAATTGTATATCTTTTTCTATCTACTTTCCAAAATCTTAAAGGCTAAATCGTAAATTTCCTGAAACCATTTGATATACCTACTATAGGTGTATTGTTATGCTGTAGTTTTTTAGATTTTTTGGACAAAATTAGTGATGTGAAAATTATAGATATGTATATGTATTAAAAAAGTTAATAAAACATATACCAACATAATTAGTGTATGTCTTCAAAGACCAGCAACAAGCTTAAGTTGACCTTCATCTTACACTTGTTTTTGCCATTGGAAAATTGCCAGAATTAGCTGGTATTCATAAAAGTTTAACGAGTGTTAATAATACTTGTCTTAATATACCTATCGACTTTTATTACCCACATTAGTTGTGTTCATAGTGGCAATTTTCTCTTCACAAAAATTACATACTACTAATTCGTCTAATTAAACCGAACATTGTTTAGAAATAAAACTTGCTCCAATGTTATTTTATAGAACAATACTGTTAATACACTGTCAGTATAGGTGTTTAATACACAGTTTGACTGAAAAATATTATGTTGCTATCAAAATTCCTTATCGTTTTACAAAATAAAAATGATCAAGAAGCCTTTAGCCTCAGAGAGGACATACAGGAATTGGGTAAAAAAACACTTTTTAATTGTCATAAGAAATTAAAGAAGTTACGAATTTGTAAATTCGTTAAACATTTTATTAAAAAATTGTGAATTATGCAGATTTAGCTATGGTGAAATAGGGTATCCACACGTTCGGATTTACCCCAATAAGTTTGAGTATTTAAGGTGTCCGAGGAAGTCCGGCCAGAATTAAATTTCAGAGCTTATGGAAATCCTATGATGAAAACTAAAATGAAAAACGAACTCTACAAATATGTTACCGATTCTGGCATGATAAGGGTTGGAGGTGTATCGAAAAGATCATTACCTGCACGATTCATTTATGAGGCTTTTTACATAATAGTGCATTATAAAAAATTATATACATATCTTTCCCAGACGATAATGAACAGTCGATCATTTTTAATAATCGATTTTTTCGACAAGTTCATATGCTGATCTAGAAAGCTCGTGTATCTACTTTTTTGCCCCAAAATTTACTAACTTTTCATCCCAGACGGTAGCTAATTAAAATGAATAATGTATTTGCTTAAAAAATATATTTAAAATTGTACATGTGGGCAATCGATAAAAATTATCTTATCGTTCATTTTACATGCAAAAGTAACGATTTCAATCACTCAGACACGATAATTATTACACGTGTCGGTCCTTTTGTCACCTACCTATAAGACTCATATATATTATAATACGTAGGTACAGTTAAAATTTGAAGAGATCCCCCCTCTTCTTTTTAGGTTGTTTATTTTCCAATGAAGATTATCATCATCATCATCGTCGTCGTCGGTCGCCATAAGGTGTTCAGCTAGAAGACTGGTTCGTATCTTGAGCCAATCTTTGTCATAAACTAGAGCAACTTGTATCTAACTATTTGGGAACAGTAATCTCTTTACTCCTGTTTCAGCTTTTAATATAACTCTAACTAGCTATGCATATCTGGAAAGGTGTTCTGCCAAACTATCTCACCGATGTCTTATTGAATTCCATAACGCCTACTGCTCTACTACTCATTGTAATATCTCCTCATTTTAATCTTTTCTATCCACAGTATTTATAATATCCTCCTGTACCAGAGAATGGTAACCTATTTACCATTCGAATTCACGTTTAGGTTAGGCAGTAATAACGGAGCTCGCATAGGTTGATATACCTTTAATTTGACTTGGGAAATTATAGTTTTTGTATAGTTTTATCAATCCAAGATGACTTAACTAAGCCTCTTCTTAAACTTCGGGCTATAAAAAATACCACCAGAACTGCAGCATTGTTTTTTTCTCATGCCCAATAGATGACAGTATGTTATTTACCTTATTCTTTTAACTTTTAAATTGTCTCTATCGTTACATATTAATTAATAGAAGGTCTAGCTTTCGTGAAGGCCGCATAAGAAACTCACAGATGACGTAGCTAATTTTTGGCATCAAGGAAGTCAGGCAACTCAGGGTGGAACGAGCAGCAGCAGATTTAAAACAAAGGATACTTAGTGTAGCGTCGAGTCGTCTTCAGTTTTATACTCGCGAACTGTTAATTTAGAAATTCGAAAGACTGTATGTCTGGAACGTGATCGAGAATGATCAAGATACTGTGGATATAAAAGGTTAGGAATGAGGAGGTATTAGAAAGAATATGAGAGCAGAGATTGCTATAGAAATCAATAAGGAATAAACGAGATATGCTGGCACCTTCTCGGCATGAAAGGCTTAGTTAAGAGACATATTAGAAGCAGAAACAAAAGTTAAGAGGAGTAGGGGTAGGCTTAGATTAGATTACTGTTCACAAATAGTTACGGATGTGGGATGTTCTAGTTTTAGGGAAACGCGAAGACTAGCTCAGAATGGGAAAAGTGGAGGTGCGTGTTCAACCAGTCTTAGGACTGATGACCTTGTGGTGATCATGATGATGATGATAATGATGACTCTTCGCTCAATACCGCATCCATTTTATCTAAAGCTAACCCTACCAATTCCTTCTTGCTAGATGCTAGTAACTGCTATAATTGGCAAATCTAAGTATGTTCAATTTTTGTCTCTGTATATCTATCCTTAAAGCTATCCTGTCTTTAATTAAATTAAAAAAAGTAGTGGTGAAAATGTACGTGCTTATCTAACGTTTATGAAAACGAGGCTCCCTTATTTATGCCCTCTAAGAATAATCTCAACTATGGGTAACTAAAGAATGATACTGCGTAGTACTGGATAACAGTTAGCACTAGCTGTAGATGTTAGTCTTAGAACTTTTTGAATGAACTATGTAAGCTAAAGGATGTCAGAAATTAATGGAAATGTTACGATTACTTTTACTTATTTTAGTTGAGATGAATTAATTGGAGAATAAATTAATTATAATTAACTTAATTGAGAAACGATAATTTACTAAATCTATACTTCTTAGTGAATGTTACGTTTAATTTGAAAATAAGCTGTGTATTCTTGCACTACAGAACAATTAATATATACATACATAATTTATTTTATAATGCTCAAGTGAAAGTATAACATTCTGTTGATTTTTGTAATAAACCAGTTCGCAGACATATTTCCATTGTCAAATTTTCTTTTGTGTGTGTGTGCATTCGTAAGGTGACAAGGTATGTCCCTTTCCTAGGCATTTGCCTAATCGTACGAATGTTGTAATAAGAATATAAATATCCAATATGAATATACGTATAGGAGAATTTCGCAAACATGTGTATAAAGTTATGAGATACTGTGTAGTTTCTTTGGAATGTTAACTTCATTTATTTGGTGTAACAGACATTTCAATCGGTATGTAGATTTTTTAAGAGATGATACTTTATTAAAAAGCGTGATTTTTCCTTTTGTTTGATCGAATTAATAAGAAAAACGTATATTTACGACTTTGGCATACTGAAGAGGTAGGACAACGTATAAGTATTAAAATAGTTGTATACTTTAAGAATCTTTTAACGGTGGTTAATACTTAACTGTATACTTTTAATTCCCATACGGTTAGAATTGGGGAATGGTCCTTTAGAGATCGACCAGAGTATTTAAACGGGCAACGGTGGGGGTTGAAAGCACCTAATGAACTTGTCCTTCAGTTTGTATAAAATAATAAATTCTCCATTTCTTCCCCTTAGATATGACTAAACAGAGAATCTAAACACCTAAGGGTTGGAAGGTTTTTATTTGTGTGAAAAACCAACACCATAAATACAAACATTGCGACTCCTAAGTTCCTAGATTCTTTGCTTAGCTTACAACATTCTAGAGTTCTTTAAACATATGAGTTAAACAGATAGTCATGGACACTTTGATTGCCCCACACACATTCATCTACCGTCACTAAAATGGCTTTATGTAAGAACCACCCCGAAGGCCTACCTGATGCACCACACATGGGTGTGTGGCTTAGGAGTAGTTCTAAAACATACGAATCCATGCTTTTTTGGATAATTTTTTAATTATATTGTGTATTCAGACAGAATTTTTGACGATGATGCTTTCTCCAAAAAGTTAAGCAAGCATATTGGATTTAGCATAATTTTTGGTTTTTATCCTATCTTATATCATTTCGCGAGATATAAACATGCAAATGCCTTCGGAAAGACGTGACAATACGACCAATTGAGTCTGTAAATTAGTCAGACTTCTTTATCTAATCAATTGATCTATTATGAGATTGATTGATTAATTGACTACTATATAACATGAGATGAGACGAGTCATAAGGTAAATTAATGTTAACTACGCTAAATTTATAGAATGTAAAAAGGTTCCAATAATAACTAATAAAACGCGGTTATTTATAGCAGGTATTTGCACTTACATAGAAATAATGTAGACTCTATGTAAGTGTTGGATTTAAAAATTGATGTAATAGAATAAAGAAGTTGAATTAACAAGATTTCCCTAATTGTAGCAGTTGATGTACTTCATATCACATTTACTTTTCCTTAGAAGGTTGCAAGCAATTTATAATTTAATTTACTGGCAGCATGTTATTGAAAAAAGAAAAATAATGTTATTTTTTGTTAAAGAAATGGTGTCAACGTCGAAGGGGCCACTCATAAGCAAGTCGTTGATCTTATTAAATCTGGGGGAGATGTATTGACATTAACTGTAATATCAGTAACACAACAGGTAGGAATTTTCAGAAATCGTTGAAATCTAATGTGTAATAAGTCAAAGTTCGAAGTGAGATTTCTCCGCAGGAGTGACTAGTCAGTCTAGGAGATTGATTAATTGTTTTAGTGAAATCCTGAAATAGATTTGAGTCTCAATCATAAACCAGAACGATTGAGGGTCAGTTGTGGAAATGATTAAATTAAGTAGTCAAACGTCAAAACTAAAAGAAATTCGTTTTTGGATTGTCAAAATTTTGATTTTACTTTATTTTAAGCGATATAAATGGATACAAAAGCAATTTTGAACTTCGACTAAAACACTTTGTCAATCTTCTGAATTAACGAGTTACATAATAACATATAGGTTCGTTAATACGAGGGTGGATTGATAAGTTTCCGGCCTAACCAAGAGATGACGCNATCCGTTATTTGTTTTATTGTTTTTTATTACATACGTCTTTTCTTTATCATTGTGTGACAGAAGATTTTGACATGTTGTGTATTTTTCTATTTTTAATGATGCCAAAGAAGTATAACTTCTCACGCGCGTACATAAGTACACGCACCCATTTTTTTTATTCGCGCAACTCCCTTGCCAAAGGACATCTTGCCTTGATGCTATCTAACTAACCATAGTATGGGTAAAATATCTTCTGTATTTTGTAATAGTGTCTTTAAGGCTTTTTTTTTCTTAAAAAACTAATGTTTTATAATACTGTATTTTGTGATATTGATATCTGTGTAACTATTAAAATAATTTTCATAATTTTTGATTTCAGGTACTTTCTGCACCTTGGACATTTGCATATCACGATTAGAAGACGTGGGTACAGTTGATATTAGGGGTACAGTCGAACGGATACGATCCCAAAGAGCTTACTCTATACAAATGCCCGATCAGTATGTCTTTTGCCATTTGGCTCTAATCGAATATGCCCTTATGAGAGGGTATCTCAAGTCCGCCGATCTATCGGGTTTCGAAGGAGTCGATGAAGACTCCGAATAGCATAGTTATGTGTTGTTAGTTAATTCTTCGAATGACTCTGATTACAGATTAAATAACAAATTTTTAAATGAATGACGCTGTTTTCCGATATAATATTATATGTAAATGAATCGTATTGTTAATTCACTTTTTATTTATATCGTGCATGTGTTAATAAATTATTTTTATTTATTTTTCGTTATAAAAGTTTTATTTCGCTATTTCCGCTTCTACAGAAAGAACTGATGATTATTAACTTGAAACAATTTCTATCTACTTCCCATTCCTTTTGTAAATGTAGCGACAGGAGAAAAATTTTTAATAACAAATGGATGTAAAATATTTATTTACTTTCTATTTTTTATTAATTTACTCTTATTTCAGTAAAACAATAATAATAATAATAGATTTTTTATGCAATGGATAAAATACAACTGCAATTATTATATATGTTGCGGTATCTGAAGTAGCTTTTTTAACTTTAAATGTAGACTTTTTTTACATGTTTAATTACAAAAATACAAGCTGAATATTACCAAATTTTAAGTATTTGAATTTGTTAACCTAATGCATAAACATAGAAAACCCTTACCAAACATTTAATTAACAAATACAATTTTTCTAATACACACGTGATTTAGTAATTTATATAATATGTATAAATAAAACTGCTTCTTATGGAAGAATTTCAAAAGTTCCTCATTTGGCATCAGTATCATGACTGAAAATGGTTGAAATAATTTTTTTTTGTTTAACAAGGTTTGTAATTCATAATTTCATTTTATTCAAATTTTAAAGTGAAATAAATAAAAATATTGAACTAGGGTATATTTTTATTTTCCTCTGTATTAATATTTAAAAGTAATACTATACCTGCCATCTATCGAATGCAACACAAATATATTAAATACGAAACGAACAAGCTTTGCCATCTGACAGTTTAAGCCATAAGTATAATACATAAAAAGTGACCTACTCCGCCATCTGTCGATGTAATAGTTAACAGAATAAATGCTACCAAGGCAATTTTTGATTAAACCCACAGTTTAAATTTTACTAATTTTTGT